TCTGATGCTGCTTGGCCTGCTGTGTTCATCCAGCTCTACACCTTGTTATCTCAATGTTACATGAGGTGTTTGGTAAGGAATGAAGCTATAAGGACCAATATTCCATAAATATTATGATTCTGCTCAAAATATCTTGTACCATCATCTAAAGTAACTCTAAAAATCTATCAACATTCTTTATTCCTAAAAAAAATGAAATATCTTTTCTTTGCTGCTGTGGAATCTTTGATTGCTTTATTGGAGGTAAACAACTCCATATTTATGTATTGAGATGGATTTCACAATCACTGGCAAAGCAACACTGCTGCACACTGCTGTCCTTGAAGAAAATAACCGACAAAGACTTAGTAGTCTCTGTGACACAGACTTACTTTTACCTGATACCTGTTTGATTGTAGTGCCAAACTAAGGGAGTCTTCAGTATCTCTGAGGCGTCATCATCACATGGAATGAGCTTCTAATCACATTAAAGCATTCTCACAAAAAACAAACTAGAAAGTATAGCTAATTGAATTCCCTCCACTTCTAAATTTTAAATGTTATAGATAATGAAAAAGTGATGATGTATACAGGGGATTAAGATGGAAGCTAAAATATTAGAAATGAATTTTAAACAATTTAAATATCATAATGAAGAAATATGAAAGTTAGCACCTTCTGAGCTAATAAGGCTATTTGCAGTAATTACGAATATCGTACGCTATTAAAAAATTCAACATTATTGCTACATTCAGCTTGGAGCTTATGATGAACTATAGAACTATTACAGTACAGGTGAAGATAATTTGCATATAGTGTTCATTCTAAAGCAAATAAAAAAATTTTTTAGTCCCATTGTCTCTCATCTGGTTCAACTTTTTTAAATTCTCCCCATAAATATGAAATACTCACTGTCTCATCTACTCTAACGTGACAAAGTATTCTATGTTCCAACAAGCTCTGCATAAAATAAGTTTCTCCCAACACTCCTCCTCAGCCTAATGGTAACTTTAAATTGATGACTTCCTTGTCACGGGTTCCCAAACCTGAGCAAATAATCTTTTTCTGTTCACCTTAGCAAAACCTTTCATAATTTTGAAATATCAATTACATGTCCAACTTCCTCTATATGTTCCCGTTGAAAGAAAGTATATTAAGTACATGGGAATTGTCCATGTTATCAAGAAAGATGCTTTGCCATTACAAGGCTTCCAAATCAATGTCATTTTAAAGGTCATCACTTATCTGCTGGTTGCACACTTACCTCTGAGTTAGCGACTGTGGATTCAATCTCCACTATGAATATTAACATATATTCTTGATTGAAACTGCAGTATCATACTGAGAGAATATTACTCCACTGTCAGAGGTGTAGAGTTGAGATTTTAAATAGTGACCCCTTTTGAACATTTTGGTGAATGTAAGGATTCTATGACAGCATTTAAAGAAGAGTAGTGAACTCCCAAATCGCCCTGTTTAACATTCCTGTCTCAATCAAAACAGATTAAGTGGCCACTCACTTATTTGCTATCTATACAGTTTTACTGTGGCAAAACAAAACTTACCATTGTTCCTATCAGTGTTTGGATTTCAGAAGTCATCCATGGGCTGTTAGTTGCTTTGGGATGCAATAAGACAGTATGGCCCATATATTCCAACTCGAGACAGAAACCATATTTCCAACCCTGATTGTGGGTTGTTAAAAATTAACTACCTACTGTGGGGTAACTTCTACACTGGCGATTCTTGAACAGGGACATCCTGTTTTACACCTATCCAGGAATCTTCAAACTTAACAATGTAGAAAATCATCATAGAAAGAACACCACTTTTTATTTACAGTGTCATATTCTATAGTTTATATATCCAATAGATACTATGACAGAGTAAGTATGTAAGGTAAATAAGGGAGTTAGAGTGCCAACTTGGTAAATGGAGCTAGGGTGCCAGGTGGATAAAGTGAGTAGGATGCCAAATAGGTAGGGTTCCAGGTAGGTAGAGTGTTAGGTAATGGATAATGTTTAGGGTAGGTTGAATGGGGGGTTGGGGGAGTGGTTTGGTTTCTGGGGATGCTATATTGGGTGTGATGTTTTGGTTGGGATCTTTTGAATGGGGCATGCAGTAGGAGGTTGTGAGGTTAGTGGAGTGTTGGGTTGAGCCCAGGAGGATGGGTGGGTAGTGCGGGGTGTTGAGAGTTGATATTGGAGTTCAGTTTAACAGTTACTCATGAGTTTGCAGCTTTTTAATCCTCTAATCATACCTGGGTAACTGTTAAGCTTAAGTGAGTCAGAATCCAATGAAGTTTCCAAATTTGAGGGGATTTTTCGAATGGTTCCATTTGCACGGCAATTGCCGACTGAAATTTTTCATTTCCTGGGTGATTGCCGCAGGGTCAGCTGCAGCAGGGATTCTTCAGGGTTTCATTCTGCAACTTCAGTCTACATTGCTCCAATGACCATATCAAAATACCTGGGCAACATAAATTGAAGTTTATTCTCTTAATGGAAGGTCTGAGAACTCACTAAACTTGTGAGTAAAATCTGAAGCAAAGGGCTTGATCTTAACAATAGTGAGGCAAATCTTTAAGGATATGTCAGATTCAGCTTCTCTTGCTACAAGTATATATTTTGCATTTGCATGTGTATTGAAATATTAATATCATTTTTAGAATTCAGATTTCAAAATAGAGGAAGATCGATGTTGGTTATTTCTGTGAAGGTTTTCTTTGATAGAAAGATCAGTCCAGAACAATGACTAAATTCAACATTTTGTCAGAGAACAGATGACTGGAGACTCCTGCAGTACTACTGGACATATGTTTACACTGTAATGCTTACAACAGGTAGAATAAATACAAGGTCATTAACCTTTTCAATTCAGAAGAATGTAGGATGAGCAATTTTTTAAAAAATCAGCTCAAAAAATACTAGTGTTGAGTTTAGAGGCAATTTTAATATCTCTCCTCAAAGATGGATGTTATTTCAGTGAAAGGGTTTAGTTTGTGGAACTTCCAAACAATGAAAGTTTGATTAGAAATTTGCAGATTATCAGAACTGAGAAAGTCTAGTCACTCAGATTTGTGGAAAGGTTCATTTTGGCAGATTTGGAAAAGACTCATAGCCTTGCGCTGTGGAGAGAATTTAAAGACACAATTAGGTATCAGTTAAGTAGAAGCCTAAAGAGTTGAGATATGCTGTATAATTTCTCTAGATTTGAGCCTCTGACATGGGTACTGTTACCCTCCTTAGAGTTGCTATTCAATCAGTACTGCAAGTGAACAGTCCAGAGATGGCACCTGTTCATTATATTATAGTTTGAAAGTCTGCAGAAAAATGGATACCATGAGGATACTGGAAGTGGAGAAGTATAGATCGATATAATTCCTCTGCAATATCATCAGGGCTGCTAATGAAGATCACTCTTTATCTTTCTGCCAGCAGCACAAAAGCTGATGAGAGTAATCTGCATCTTTAAAAAGTCAACACACGATATTAACTTCGCTCGCAAAAACAGAAATTGCTGGAAAAACTGGGTCTGGCAGCATCTGTGGAGAGAAATCAGTCACCGTTTCGGGTCCAGTGACCCTTTTTCAGAACTGAGAATAGGAAATGGTGGTATTTAGGCTGAAGACAGTGGGTGGGGAGGGAGAAGAAGGGAGTGAAGGACATTTGGAGATGGACATTGGCTTAGTACATCACCCCCTCCCCCGGAAATCTCACAGGTAGCCCAGCAACTCTCTCAGATTGCAACGTTCAAATACATAGTTAACAATTACAGAGTGAAGTAATACTGGAGGCAGACCAGGATGACACGTTACTGTAGTTTTTTTTTCAAGACCTTGTTTACCCTTCTATGGCCAAACTGAAACGAACGACAACTTTCCCAGTAATTTTGAGATTTTTTTTGCTATCTCATTGAGATAAACATCGGGTTTGGAAATAAACGCTGCCTTAAAGCAATTCAATTAGGCGAGTCTAGCTTTAAAGATCGTGATTTTTTTTCCCCAAAAAAGTTCTAGCATTTAGTTTCCCAGCTTCTAAAGGTGAACAGTTTTAGTGCCAGTGTGTGAAAGATTCGGGAATGTTTCAGATGCAGATTTGACAGCAGAAGTCAGACTTGCGCGGCTTTCGGGAGTTCTTTCATGGGTTTTAGGTGACATGCCATTGCAACCTAGAGGGAGCCCTTGTTCACCAGTGAGAGAGTACAGTACAAGGGAAACGGAATTCTCAACTTCTCTCATCAGATCATTTCAAATCTTCTACTTCTTCGCAGGATCTAGATGTACACGTGGTGGAACCGAAACTGCCTCCAATCCTAAATTGTTCTCCGTTGCAGTGCATGGCCGCAATGTGTCAATCACAGTGACTTCATGAGATACGTCCCGTGCTTTCAATATTTTTCCCAACCTCCCGGCCCCTGGTTCGCTGCCTCCACTCCAGTGAGACCGAGTTAAGGACTGGCTGAGGGAGAGGGATCCAGACAACGCTGCCGGCACCGTGCCCCTTCTTGTGTAGCCCGATGCTTTGGCACCGCACTGAGCCGCAGTCTACAGTGAGCGCTCAACTTTAAAGCCAGAGCCGCCCCCTCCCCTCTCCTCCATCGCACCCCAACAAGTTTCTGACACGACTTTGAAAGCGTGCAATGGATTACTTCAGCGGAACGCTGTACTTTGTCTTGTTAGCCTTGCTCGGAGCTGACGGCCTGTACGTCGCCCAGCATACAGGTAATGTTTGGGTGTCTCCACTGGCTGTCCTGTTTGATTTGCAATACTTTCAGGAAGGCGAGATTTGTGCACCTACTGCTTTGTTTTGGGGGGGGGTGTGGGGTGTGGGGGAATGTAATGTTGTATTCAGTTTGTTCCTGCCAAATGCACAGTATTGATAACAATCTTGCTGTGAAATTGCCTGCTTTACAAATACTATGCTAATTAGGATTGCGGTTACGAACTTCAAAGCTAATGTAAATAACTCAAACGGACTCCTCTCGATAGTGTGATGGCACGGATCGTTTTGAAAGTTTACCGCTGCATCTGTATCCATTTGCAGATTCACTTCTGGGCAAATTAACCAACTATGAGCTGATGACTCCGAGCAGCACAGATGTACAGGGAAGATTTCTGTCCCACGCTGTAACGGCTGCTGGCAAAAGACGGTCTAAAAGGGACATTGGGAGTTTCCAGCAAGCAGCAGCTGATGGGCGCTTGTATTATAACGTGACGGTGTTCGGGCAGCAGTTTCATCTCCGACTGAAGCACAACTCCAGACTGGTGGCACCTGGAGCCACGGTTGAGTGGCAGGACACGAACGGCACTCACAAGGAGCCTCTCCACGGGGACTGCGTCTACTCCGGAGATATCACTGATGTACCGGGGACTTTAGTCGCCATCAGTAACTGTGATGGACTGGTAAGCAGCATTCCAACACGCCTTCCACAACATTCACTCCTACACATTAACCCTTTCCCTGCAGAGACAGCGTAGAATTCTACACCTGTCATAAGGGCAACAAATGATTTGAAAGAGATAACAAGGTGTAGAGCTGGATGAACACAGCAGGCCGAGCAGGAAAGCTGACGTTTCGGGCCTAGACCTTTCTAGTGTGTGTCTGATAATCTAGCTCATGATACAACAGCTTTAGGTATTCTTGACAATGCAGGGAATAATATCACGCTTATTCGATAATGGACATTTTGTATGCTTAGAATTATACAGACTTCTGTTTCAATCTCATAACTTCAGCTTCTGTCTCATAACTGAGACTTATTCGTTGATGGTTAATTCTAAAGTTGTTCTCTGCCACTCCCAATATAACATGCACACATGTCAACTTCTGTCAGCACTTAGCAGTTGTGAACTCATTCAAAGGTAGGATAACAAGTGCCCCTGGTAAATCTACACCGGTAAGAATGCAATTCTGTTTTAAGGCACAACGAATTTTCCATTGAATAGCTGTGAGCGTGATTTTAAACGTATTTAGCTGTCAAACCAGCATTCTTAAAAATTCACATTCTTTAACTCAAATAGGTTCTGATGTGCACCAAGGTGTAAAACTGATAAAATTTTGTATTTGATTATTGATGGTCACAAACAGACTGTATTTTCTCCAGGATGTTGGCATCCCTCAGAAAGCATGAAGCCCAAAACTTGTACACCATATTCCTGCAGAGCCCTAAACAGTGCTATATATTTTTTTTATTTGCTCATGGAAAATGGGTGTTCCTGGCTGGGCCAGTGTGAATGAATAAATAAATTAATTCACTAAGTATGGATATTGTCTAGGTCTTGGTGTATTTAAACACAGACTGCTTCAGTATCCGAGGAGTTGCAAATGGTGCTGAACATTTTGCACTTCTAACCTTATGATGGACGGAAGGTCATTGAAGCAGCTGGAGATGGGTGAGCCTAAGACATTGCGCTGAGGAACTCCTGCAGCTGAAACAACTGACCTCCAACAACCACAACCTTTTGTGATAGGTTTGACTCCAAGCAACAGAGAGACTTCCCCCGCCTCACCCACTAATTCCCATTAACTCCAGTTTTGCCAGGGCTCCTTGATGCCACACTCGGTCAAATGCTTCCTTAATGCCTCTCTTACCTGACCTCTGGAATTCAGCTCTTTTGTCCATGTTTCAACCAAGGCTGTAATGAGGTCAGGAGTTGAGTGGTGCAGGTGGAACACAACCTGGCCTTGCTGGACACGTGCTGTTTGATAGCACTGTTGCTGACACCTTCCATCACTTTGCTGATGATCAGGATGAGACTGGCATGGCAGTAATTGGCTGGATTGGATTTAACCTACTTTTTTTATCACATTGTCGGCTAGGTGCCAGTTCATTACTATCGCCGGAATGTTGTCAGGTCCCATAGCCTTTGCAGTACCCATTGCCTCCAATTGTTTCTTGACGTTACATGGAGTGAATTGAATTGGTTCACCACTGGCATGTGTGATGCTGGGGATCTGTGGAGGAAACCGAGATAGATTATCCGCTCGGCACATCTGGCTGAAGATTGTTGCGAATGCTTCTACCTTGTCTTTTGCGCTGATGTGCTTGTCTCTTACATCATTGAGGATGGGGATATTTGTGGAGCTTCCTACTCCAGTGAGTTGTTTGATTCTTCACCACCCCATGACTGGGTGTGACAGACTGCAGAGCTCAGATCTGATGTGTTGATTGTGGGATCACTTAATTGTGTCCATCACTTACTGCTTATGCTGTTTGGCATGTAGCTTTACCAGGCCAACACCTTAGTTTTAGGTATGCCTAGTGCAGCTCATGGCATGCCCTCCTGCACTCATCATTAGCTTCTTTGTTTTGTATTTAGCTGCCCTATTGAAAATGCTGTGTTCCAAATACTTCAGTAATTGCCTTGTCAATGTGCCTTGCCACATTCAAAGATTTGTATCTGTGCTGCCATGTTCTTTCTGTTCTTGTAATTCCTCCAGGATAGTACCCAAACAGCTATCCATTTGGGTCACCCAATGTGCATCACTTCGCAATATTCCACATTAAATCCCATTTGCTGCATAGCTACCATTTCATAATTTTGTGTTCCTGAAGTCTAATAATATCCTGCTATGTTGCTAAGTGTTGTAGCATATGCACATTTCTAAATTGCACTTTATATACACACAGTATATAAAAAACTGTGGTCCTAACATTGATTCTTGGGGGATTTCTCACTTGGGGGAATCTCCAGTCTGAAAAATATATGTTCATCACTACTTTGTTTGCTATCACTCAGCCAGTTATGTATGCAAATTGCCTGTCCCCACAATCCCATGTTCTTTCATTTTCTGATCAAGCCTGTGATTTGGTACTTTATATAAAATGGCCTTTGGAAAACCATATTAAACAACTACTTCACAGTCTTTATCAAGCTTTCTTTCTATCTAATTTCATCCTATCCAATGACACTACCATCCTTCCCTAAAAGAAAATGGTTTCCTGCCACAGAGTCTTCATCCTGACTTTATTGTGGACACCAAAGTACTTGTTTCAGCACTTCTGTCATGCTTTCTGCCTCCACCAGAACATATTTGTCTTTGGTCAGCCTCACCATTCCTTTAGTTATAAGATGTATTTGCTCTCTCTTATATGTTAACCAAACATCATTTCTTACATTCTTTTGATCTCCTTCTTTCCTTTTTTACTTTCTCCCTACACTCTATGTATCTCACCTGATTTTTCAACTGTATTCTAGGACAGACATTTGCCAGGCCTTTTTTCTGTTTGGTTTTAAGATCTGTATTCTTTGTCATGCAGTGAGTTCTTGCTTTGGACACGTATCTCATCCACTCCTATCTGCTTTCTTCTGTTTTCGTTTCCTTCTGCTCTTTTTCCTTTTCTCTTTCATTTTTCTTTTCTTTGGAGCCGTTTGCGGAGGGTTAATCGGCAGCATTGGCATGGCCCTCCCAGCGTTCAGGACCAGTGGTGGCCAAGCTCCTCCAGCGATTGGAGGCTACAGTGGTGGATTTATCAAGATGGCGGCGCTGACAAGGTGAAATCTCTGAGGAGTGCAGCTGGAGTGGGCCTCTGGGTGAGACAGCAGCCTGGCCTGGCTACAGTGCCGTGGACTCCTGGTTGCAGTAGGACCAGAGTGGGAACTCCAGGCATTGGCGAGATGGTGGCTGAAGTGCCAGCAGCGTGGTATGTCCAGAGCGGGTACTCCTTGCGTTGTCGAGTTGGCCTTCTATATCCCTCTTGAATACATTCTTGCCCAGAATGTTTAAGCATTATTCTCATCCATGTTTAAGTAACGCCACCCATTATATCATTACTATCATAACTTCACATTTCAATCTGCACTTGTACCTTGCAAAGTTTATTATGAATTTTGAGAGGCTCATGATCACAATTGCCAAATATAGGCAGAGCCGGGGACTCCTGGTTGCGGAGCGAGAATGGGTTCAACATGGGACCCGGCATCAGTGGTGGTGTTGGTGAGGTGGGCCCAGCGGCATAGAGATGGCACCTGAAGAGTGACGACTCCAATGTTTGTGGGTGCAGCGCAGACTGTGAGATGGTGGAGGAGGGGATACAGCACATGTGTCCCTGGTGAGCTGGCTCAGGGCTTGTGACTCATGGATCTCTTTCAGTTACATTTTTTTTATTCTTTAACTATTCAAAATGGCGCCGGATTGTGGTGACAGTTGAAGCTTTTCACTGTGTTTTACTGTGTTATTCACTGTAAAATGCAAGTGACAGTAGATCAGTCAACTTCAACCACTAGATGGTACAAAGAGTGTATGTCTGCTTTGTTATGACCCAGTGCCTCTGAAACAACAAAAGGAAGTGGCACCTTCCAAACTTTGTTTGCAACGCAGATGAGATAGATGCCTTCTCAGATCACTGAGACTGGCTGTCTTCCAGTTGGGTATTTTCACCAGTGATTTTCTTTGTCCCTTTTCCGTATCTACTTTAAACGTATTGTTGAATGTTTCCAACTGAAACAGACTTCGCTTCCCCTACTCCATTCCCCAGAATGAGATCCACCAATGAGTCATTCTTGTAAGGCTACAGACATGTTGATTTTGAGAAACTTCTCCTGTGTATAATGTTGGAATTCTTCACTTTTTTTTTCATTTTACATTCTGTTCCTACTCTGTAGGTAATTGAAGTTCTGTATTCTTGTTACATTTCTCTGATATTTACCTACAGATTTTCAACCCTATCTCTGTCTCACTATTTGGAAGTCTACAGCAAACATAGGGCAATATAACAGCTCATTTTCTCTAATTAAATAGATTAAGTCTTTGAACTCGAATATATAATCCACCTGTGGAACTGTAATAGTATTCTTGTTTAATGCTGTCAACATCACTGTTTCCCTTCCCACCTCCTGGCTTCTATATCCCTCCTGAATACATTCTTGCCCAGAATGTTTAAGCATCATTCTCACCCATGTTTAAGTGACATCTCCCATTATATCATTACTATCATAACCTCATACTTCAATCTGCACTTGTACCTTGCAAAGCTCATTATTAATTTTGAGGGGCTTATGATCACAATTACCAAATATAGGCAGTCAATGCCTTGTAGCAATTGTTTGATAGTTTATTGGATTTGTTAAGAAGCAGTGGTTAGATACGATATATCAGTTAATTCAGCAAAGAATGTAGATGACTGGCTGACAGGTAAGAATGTCTCATTGATCCTGTAGCTGTTCTGTAGAATGAAAGAGTAGGGGCAGTGATTTTGATGTGGTCTCTTTGTTGTCTTTGTTCTTCCCTGGAGCTTACAGAGGGGAACTCGGTCTTCTCTCCAGAAGTTGGTAGCTTGTTTTCCTGGATCCTCTCACTCATAACCATCTCACCCCACCTATCTCTGTTGATATATCTTACTTTGGGGGCTAGCCATTTATGCTGTGTCAATCACCTGTCTCAACCCACTTGGCCAATAACC